GAGAGAGAGAGAGAGAGAGAGAGAAATACCATAGGTTACATTCTATAGAGATGCTCAGAAACTTTATTGATCAGACTAGACTACAACTGCCTATGGTATGCCTTCTTTTTCCTCTTAAAAATTTGAACTTGGCTTCTCGTTTATGTTTCAAAGCTAAGAAAGTTAGACTAATAAAAGTTTTAATTAATATGTGCTTTAAAAGACCCTAGATGTGGCGTTTAACCTCGTATCTTATACTATTAAGCTTTGTTGTATAGTTTATGATTCAGACAGAAAAACAATATTTAAAAGTAATATATTAAAAATTGTTGGTACATTATTATATAATCGTTTTCAAAGAAATAAATATAGAAGTGCCTGCTTTGAAGTATCTAAATGAAAGAGAATGATTTTCTATTCAGATTGTGTGTATATATTGTATGTGTAGGTTTCTTTGCTCTTTCCTGATGAGATAGTCCATTAATCTGAGAAAACCTCTGAGTATTCTTTGTGATAAAATAAAATGCATCTTTTACAATAGCTACATTGAAACAAAATTCCAAGGAGAAAAGGTATGGATGGAAGCATTTTTTATCATCACTCCGGTTTCTTAAAACTTCCCTTCTTTCCCCTTTAATGATGTGCCAATTCAATTTTCTTCTCATTATCTTATACAGAAAACAAGGTTCTATCAACTAAGACAACAGCTTAGCAGAAGCAGTGGCAGAAAGTTTTTTTCCAACTCTTTATAACTACCATAACGGCATTTCAAATATTCAGCCCTCGAATGGGCAAAGGGGTAACAATATACATTTTTCTACCTTATTCTTTTATCTTTATCTCACACGTCTGCATTCATACCGAGGACGTTTTTCTTCCATCCTGACTGTGTGCTTTATGAAGCAAATAGATGTAGATATTGCTATTTGTGTGATGAAGCAATAACTCTTTCCTATCTTGGACATTTTCATCAATTCCTACCTGCCTCTCATCATGAATCATTTAAGACAATTCTCCAGTCACGTATTTTAAAGATCTACTTGAGAGAAAAGTTAAAAAGATTTTTTTTTGAAATGACCACTGAATTTAAAATATGTAGCCATTAATTAGCCATTGCTATTTACGTCTCTCTCAGGGACAGAAATGACTCTGATAGCCGCTTTCTTTGCTTGGGTGTAATATCCATGGATCTTGCTATCTTCTTTTTAGAAGACTTTGGTCATTTATTCTAATGACTCACAATAGAAGAAGCAATGACACCTGAGGTACATATGTTTTTCGAAGTCATTTGAAACTCTTATTTGGGAAAGGGTTGTATAAAAAAAAATCGGGCATAGTCAATTTAATATAGATATTTTTAAATAAGAGAACTAATGGCAAAATAACACCTTTTCTTTTGGAAAGATTATTTTGGAAGAGATGGAAAGATTAAGGCTGTAAGAAGAAACACTGGATTTTTTAGATTTTGCTGAATATATAGCAGTATCATTGTTTCAGTGAAACTATGAACGGGAGAATGTGTAATAAAACTGCACAATTTGACAGATTTAGACAGCTGGCTCCCTCACAAGAAGTTCACGTTTTGTTAATGTCACCCACGTTGAATAAGGGATGATTAGATGGTAAGGTCCATTTACAAAAATGGTTGTCAGGACATTTTTTTTTTTTTTTAATTGTAAAACTTTCTGTGATGGAATTCAGTAAAAGGGCTATGGAGAGAAAGCAAGGGAGACAAAAGACTGCTATTAACCTACAGATGCAGGCTACTGCAGGGTTCACTGCAAGATTTGTCACACTGTTGGGCCAATGAAGTGTTAGTGTGACTAGAAGGGACCACCCCTTTTCTGGGGTAAGAGGGCAATTTGGTCTCCATGCTCATTTAATCCTGAGACGTCTTTGAATAGACTGTCAATTGAATCTAAATTGTGCAAAATTATGCATGCACTTTTTAATGCAGGCTATTGTTCACCAAGCACTGAACCAAGATTTCTCAACCCATTTCCATTTGGCATGAGGTCACTTGAAACTTAAGTAATCATATATGGAAGACAAGAGCAGTGTACTTAACCAACCTTTCTACATTGTGGTTTCTGTATAAATGCTGACTGTGCTTTAATTGCCAATCTCCGGCTTTAAAACAATAGAGAAATACTAGTTACGAGATTTTATTCTTTTTAGTTGAGGTTCGTATTCCAAAAATAAGGAGCCCGTTTGGAAGGTCAGCCTGTGCTGCATAATCTATACTGCTCTTCAATTTAGATTCCGGAGGAACAGATGTTTACAGGAAGACAACCTACAGTGGGTGCGCGTGTGTCACAGGTAGATGTTTTTTTTCAGTAGTGCAAGGAGGCCTTATAGTTTTGTTATAATCCAATCATGGAGAGCTGGCCTTGAAAACCATTAAGAAAAATGTCTACGAGACTTTTTGCAGTTGTAAGTTAGAACATAGCATTTCTTTCAAAGCCTGAACAGAACATTTACAGATATTTATTCATACACATTCACCAAGGAGGATTTTCATTGAACTCTGAAGGAACATATACATGGAAAGTTATGTTTGGCAAGAATTGTTATATTAAAAACTTGTACAAGTGACAGCTTACATAGCCAGGATTTGTTAAAAACGAGTGAGCTCTTCTCCAGTGAGGTTCGATTGAGTGTGCAATCTGCAACATTCTAATCACATATACTCTGACAGTCTTGCTATGGTGAAAAGCACTTTACAAATGTTTAATGCTGGAATTTTATAAAGATTGGCTGTTTTCTTGCTTTTTCATCCGTCGTTAATGATTACATGTTGGCACAAGGATACATTGCTAGATTAGATCCACAGCACATTAAAGACTGCTCTCTCACGCCCCTTCTTTCCAATTAAGTTGGTGAAAAATGTAACTTTAGTATTTTACAGGACAGGGTAAAGGTGTTTCATCTAGGTGATGTCTATATTATAAAAATAAAATAAAAAATATAAATATGTAACACAAACCCAGTGCCTATTGTTAAATAAAATATACAATAAAAGCAGACCTTTTAGGAAGATTGGTTTTAGAATATGCCGTTATGATTTAATTATAAAACGCTTGAGAACAATCTTGATATTAAGCTAGAGTAACCAGATTTCTCTGCCAATAAAAAGTAAGTGCATAACATTCTGTAATTGGATACATTGATAAAAATGAAGATTACAATTTTATATCAAGTTGCCCATTTATAAATTCATCAGGGAGTTCTGAAACATTCTCACATTATAGTCCTTTAATATAAAAATATTGCCTTTTTTTTATTAGATCCATCAGATTGCACAGTAATGTTTCAAAACTCCATTAAAGTTGACTTTAGTTATTACAGACAGAAAATTCCTGGGAAGTCAAATAATCTCTTCTGGTAATATAAAAATTCCGTTATCAATTTACAATGGAATTTCTGTGTAAATTACTCCACACAAGGAAATATATCTTTTTATAAACCCATCTGTTCTGCAACCACGTGTACAGGGGTTGTGAGTGTGTGTGTGTACGTGTGTATGTGAACAAACATGCCAACATACACACACAGAATCTGCACATTTCTGGAAATTATTATTAAATTAATAAAAGAAAATGAAATCACAGGAGTGTGTAGCAGGATAACAGTCTTTCTTTTTAATGACAGGATAAAAAATAAATGCCCATTGGAAAGGAATATTCAGTCCCAGAAACTATACAATGTAACTTGTTAGATCCAGCAAATAAGATGTCATGTCAATGATCTGATCAAGAATACCTGCCCTGGTCACTCTGCGGATGTTTCTGTCCACTTGTTCACACTGAGGACCAAGATAGCCTTTTTTGCAGAGGCATTTGTTCGGTCTAACACAGACGCCTCCATGACGACATGCTGGCTCACATTTTGCTGAGAGGAAAAAAAAAAGCAATAAAATCACATTCTCATTGCGTGTGTCAGAAACAGCACCAAGTATAAGGCTGACAAATATTTGATGAGTAAGGGAAGGGAGGGAAAACAGGAGGAAGCCGGTCACAAAGTGGTCCAAAGGATGACGAAGACAAGAAGGGAAGAAGGCTCGCAGACCCACAGTGACTTGGGGGCCAGAACTCAGTGGAGAACGGGAGACATTTCCAGAGAAGCACCTACACGGGGAACACTTTCAATCAATCCCTTGCAGAGCCGACTCTTTCAAATGAGTGTTTCAGTTCTTCTGAGTCTGGCTCCACTGGGGCGTTCCAGCAGGGGGCCTCAGCATTCCCACCCTCTGGG